GGGGGGTGCAGGCGCCCCCTCCAGGGTGGGGCTGGGTCGGCACACAGAGGGGTGCAGGGTGGCACCTGCCCCAGCACAGGGAGGGGCGCGGGGTGGCACCTGCCCCAGCACAGGGAGGGGTGCAGGGTGGCACCTGCCACAGCACAGGGAGGGGAACAGGGTGGCACCTGCCCCAGCCCAGGCAGGGGCGCGGGGTGGCACCTGCCACAACACAGAGAGGTGCAGGGTGGCACCTGCCCCAGCACACAGAGGGCCACGGGGTGGCACTGAACTGTATCCCTCCCTCTGTCTTTCCAGAAGTCCGTTCGGAATTCGATCAGATCGACACGTCCAACCCAAACTGTGTGGTCATTGCGGACGCGGGAGAACACTTTTCCTACCGGAACATGAACAGGGCCTTCCAGGTGCTCATGGGGCTGGCGGACCCCGTGCTCATCTCCCTGGGGAAGGGGTAAGTCGGCGTGAGACTCGCTCTGGGTCCGGCTCACAGAGCCACGGGGAGAAGGAGGCAGGCGCGGTGGGCGCGGGGCGACGGCCTTCTCTCTCCCTCCCTGTTCTTTGTCTTTTCTTTAATCTTCAGCCGAGGAGTGAGGATATTTTTCCCGTCGATTTTTAGAGAGAGCGGAAGGGAGGGGGTGGGGGAAGAGAGAGAGAAACATTGACGTGAGAGAGGCACATTGATTGGTTGTCCCCGACACGGACCCCGACCAGGCTGGGGTTTGAACCCGCAACACAAGTATTCCCTTGACTGGGAATCGAACCCAAGACCCTTGGGCCGATGCTCTAACCACTGAGCAACCAGCCAGGTCCCTCCCTCCGTTTTCTTGCTTTTTCTCTTCATTTCTTCCTTCTTTCCTTTTGTAACCCTGCAACCTCCTGCAATTCAGGTCACTGTGAACCACAGAACCTGGCCTGCTTAGCTCACTGACGGCCCGGGCGGGGTCCTAGGCCTCCCTAACGTCCTGACTCATCACTAGAGAGCATGTAGTTAAGAAATTCTGTTATAACCTGTTTGTGTTAACATTTTTTAATCGTCTCTAATATGTATATACACTCACACTAGAGGTCCAGTGCATATTATGCATATATATTGATTTCAGAGGGGAAGGGAGAGGGAGAGAGAAACATCAAGGATGAGAGAGGATCCTGGATCCGCTGCCTGCTGCACGCCCCACACTAGAGGTCGAGCCCGCATCCCCAGCATGTGCCTGACTGGGAATCGAACCGTGACCTCCTGGTTCATAGGTCGACGCTCAACCGCTGAGCCACGCTGGCCGGGCTAGTCTCTAGTTATTAAGTGACTCCAGGTCACGGGCAGTAGGCAAAGCAGGCATGTTGCTGACACAGGGAGAGCCGTGGAGTCCGTGGCGTTGGCCTGCAACTCCGTGGCGGCCTCGAGCGGCTGCTTTTACAGACGAGCGGTGATGGGGTCTCTCGCTGACGGGGTCTGACTGGCGTGAGGGGTTCGCTGCTCAGAAACGAGAGAAAGGAACCCACAGCTTCGGGCCCATGTCTGCGTCCGGGACAGCCCAGGGCCCCCGGAGGCTGCTGTCACGTGGAGTGGGTCACGGATGGGGAGAGCCGTCCCCCCAGGCACAGGGCCGAGCGGTGGCCGCGTGGGGCCGAGCACCCTGCTCTGGACACGGGTGGTTTGCAGGGGCATCTGCTTGGACCGGGAGCGGGAACTGCTGCTGTAATTCCTCTGTCACGCGGCCGGCGGGACGTTAGGCTGTTGTCGCGCAGACGGTGGGAGGTTCATGGCTCTGGCGGGAAAGGTCAAGCGATCGCTGTGCAGGGAGGCCGTGCCGACCGAGGGGAAGGGCAGAGGCAGAGCGTGAGGCCTCCCCGGCCATGCGTCCCGCTTCCCCCGCCTGCCCAGCTCCCAGTGACCGCTGGGCTGCACGCTCGGACCAGCCTGGCCTGTGGTCTGTATTCGCCAGGAGCACAAGATAAATGCTTCCAGTCTCTTGTGTTTGGGGACTAACCTAGGCGCATATATATATATACACACACACACACATATGTACATATGCATCTATTAATATATATTTTTACAGATGTCAGAGAGGAAGGAAGAGGGAGAGAGAGAGAGAGAGAAACATCAATGATGAAAGAGAATTATGGATCGACTGCCTCCTGCGCACTCCACACTGGGGATCGAACCTGAAACCCCAGCATGTGCCCTGACCGGGAATCAAACCGTGACCTCCTGGTTTATAGGTTGATGCTCAACCACTGAGCCAAACAGGCCAGGGCCTGGGCTTTTGTATTTTTTAAAGGTTAGCTTAGGTACTTGTACTGACTGTAGCTCTAACTGCAAGACGCCTTCGTGCTTTCCTGAATGAATGAGAAATGAAGAAAAGCCCTGAGAGCGATCAAAGCACCAGGTTCCGTTAAAAAGGAAACGTTAAGGTTTCCAGGTTTGATTTTGGAAGTCAGTTTTTTCTTTAGACTCTAAAAATGCATGTAAGAAAGACAAGGTTTTTATTTAAATTTTATCTTTTAACGACAGTTCACATTCAGTAGTTATTATATTATCGTTACTGTTTTTATCCTCACCCGAGGATATTTTTCCCATTGATTTTTAGAGAGCGTGGAAGGGAGGGAGGAGGGGGAGGAGAGAAACACTGATGTGAGAGAGACACACTGATTGGCTGCCTCCCACACATGCCCCGACGGGGGCCAGGGTTGGACCCTGCAACCGAGGAATGAGGTACGTGCCCTTGGCTGGGAATCGAATCCGTGACCCTTCAGTCTGTGGGGCAACACTCTAACCACTGAGCAGACCAGTCAGGGCTCACTATTATTGTGTATAGTTTTGGGTGTAAAAGACAAGGTTTCACTTGTATACTTTAAGCTGCAATTTCGGTTTTTTCCTCCCATCGGGACTAAATTTAAACAAGAAAGTCCAGGTTCCTGTCACTTTGGGAGAAGGACGTTGGGGTGTGAGATGGCAGTGGTGCCGTGCGACTGCCGGGGGAGGGTTTCCCAAAGCGGGGGCACGGCATGTGGCCCCCAGCCAGGCCGGGGCACGGGGCCTGGACCCAGAAGCCTCTGCTCCCACACAGCTGCAGGGGCTCCCAGCTTTGCTCCTCCTCCTCTGGGGCGCCCTCCTGTGTCCCTGTCCCCAGCATGTCGGCCTCTGCCGTGCCCAGAGCCCGCGGCCCCCCACAGACCAGGAGTCCCGCGGGGGCGGGGCGGGGCGCGCGGGGGGGGCCTGGGAGTGCCCCCGAGTCCTTCAAGGGCTGTGAGGTGCCGTGTCCTCGACGTCTGGGGACAAGGAACGGAGCCTCCACAGCCCCAGGGATCGCGGGCCCAGCTCCCAGCATCTCCCCTCAGCCGTGCCTTGCGCCTCTGACCCGGCTCAGGAAATGTCTGCCGAGCCGTCTGTGGTAGACATGGAGGAAGAAGAGGGAGTTTCTAAAGGCTGCGTGAGGCAGAGTGCACGTCGCATCCCGGGCTTAAGACAGATGCAGTGACGGACCCCTAAGCCTGTGTTTTGGGGTCACCCTTCAAAAGGGGAGCACTTGCAGGCCCCGACTCTGTAAGCAGGTGGCAGTTCCCTCTGGTTACCAGGCACCCTCCCGAACCTGCACAGTGTCCCCCTGGTCCGCAGCCCTGATGGG